TCTGTATAGCGTATACTCTCCTTCAGTTGCTGCACAAACATATAGATATGTTGACATTGAACGAGAATAGACGGACCTGGATGAATACGACGCGATATGTGTTGTTGGGGTCGAGCCAGTATTCGACGTCAGGGACGAACTATAGTGAAATGCGTTCATCCGTTTGATTCAAGGGAGTTATCTGGTGTTATGAAGAGCTCTTGACGCACGCTTAACACTCCAAATAGATCCACAAGTGAGTTCGTCAAGTTCCATGTCATCTTCCTGTGCAATGCCTTAGCAAGACTCAAGCTCGAGATGTAAAATTGTTACTAGCACCTAGTGATATTAAAATCGCCATGTTGCAAAACAACATGTCCGTTCGTCCCGCATTTTTCAATCGCGTCGAGTACCTTCCAGTACTGTGTCAATCAATCACGTATTGGCAAAGCTAACAACTCTCACCTGGTCTGTATCGTCGTGTCCACCTCCGAGAGGAGATATCACACACATCTGACCACTACCTCCGCTCGACGAAAACCCTTGCGTAGCAGCGAAGTTGCCAAGAGCTAGCAAAGTGAACAAAGCCAGCAACAAGAACCATAGAGGACGATAAATATAATCCTTTCCTTCTTATACATATCTCTCTTACACTTGAATTAAATTTTGTAATCCTTACTTTGTATGTACTACATTTTTTAAGCTAATTATTTATTTTTCCTACTTTGTAACAAGTTACTTCTCTACTTGTTACACTTTCACACTACTAACCTATACTGTAACTCGGCTTTACACTACACTTTATATGTATTAATACAGGAAAACACAGACAGAATAGTTGATATGCAAATAAATACAATATACTAAAAATAAGTATAAATTGTCTTTAGTGAATTCAGTATAGTCAGAATTTATATTAAGCCATAATACAGTTTACTCTCTAGAACTGTTAGACAAATCACAAGGTGAATCCATTAATTTTGACTATACTTATTAATAAAAACTTGTGTTAAAGATTTGCTAGTTAGTATAGTCTTAGTAACTTTTTAGAAAATAAAAGTATTTAATTCTGTATATAGTATATTACTCAACACTGAACATTAACTGTCATATTAATATACTAAGCAGTCTGATTCAATAATACTTATAATTAAGATAACCTATTACTAAAGTGTAAAATTTTGTGAATTTGAGTAGAAATAATCCTAGTAACACAGGTCATTGTTTGCTCCTATTACCTAATTCCTCCCTTCATTTCCTTCAAAATTATTACACTCTTACCTACATTTATTTCTCACAGAAAGAAATGTTTTTGCATCACGACTAAGATTATCTAATAATGGCTAATTCCCCGTTGACCCATCAATTGTCTCTTGTAATATTCAGCAGTTGCTGGACTTTCTCTTTCTAGTTTCTGCATTGTTTCCACATGACTCATAGCAGGTCGTGGTAGACGCCGGCCTGTCGTTCCACTACCGTTTTCTAGTTGCAGATGGGACGTTTGCATTGTATCTTCTTTGTCATATTCATCATATTCGTCTGAATCTACTGAACCTTCTGTGTTTTCTGTACTTTCCTCATATTCTGATTCAAAATTCTCATATGCTACACTTCCTGCATCTACACTCTCATAACCATCCATAGGGAATGAAGATGGCTGTTGTGATAAATTAAATTCTGGTTCATCAGCTGTTGGCCTCAGTTGTGTTCTGATTGGGTATGTATTCTTCCTTTCGTCTTCTTCAGCAACCCTCTTTACTTTGCCCGCCTTCTTTGTGGAACTGACCGAGTCAACTTTCGGCTCTGAATTAGTTTTCATTTTGGGGCCTGAAACAGGGACTGTTGTGTGCCCCTTAAGTGTTGCCTTCTCTTCCACTTGTTTTTTACCATGACCTGCCTTCTGCTTGCCTGGCTCTGCTTTAGACTTTTTTGGAGCAGAGCCAACCCCTGTCTGGCGTCTACTAGTTGTCTTTTTGAGGCCAGGTTGTTCGCCATCATCTGCCTGCCTGACATTCGTTTTCGTAGAAGCATTAGCCCTTGATTCACGTCTACTTCGGGATGTCCCAGTGTCTGATTGCTCTTCATCCCTGGCCTTGATTGGTTTGTCGTCATTCCTTGCTTTGTCTCTTCTATGTTTGGGAGCATGCACCTTGGTCACACTTTGACGCCTAGGCCTTCTGTGTCTATGGCGGTGATATCTGTCTCCTCCCTCTCGATCACGAGTACTTGTATGTCTATGTCTTGGATGTTCGCCCTTGTCACAGTCTAGAGAAGTACTGCTTCTACTTTCAGACCCACTTAGGGTGGCTGAATGTCTCTGAACGTTCCTGCTTTGTTTATCACTCTGCCTTTTAGCAGCCCGTCCGCCTCTCTGAGGAGGTGTATTAAACAGGAACATCTTGTGAATATTTCCTAAGTAATATGAGGGATGCTTTCTACAGTTATGTTGCCCCCTTCTCTTTTTTATCCTTGTCTGGACACAAAGGAGTAATTCAAGCCCTTTGTCTCGCAAGTTACCGTGTGCACTGGATTAATCAAAATTAGTGAGCAAAGCAAAACCTCGACATCAGTCAATGTAGGCTTTCGTATCAATTAACACCAAATGCATGCAAGAAGCAAAATTGGATTATGGAACTAATGATGTCAAGAATTTCATGTCATGATACTTTCGGAGTTTGCACTTAAAATGGAACCTGAGATTGCTCTGAAGGAGTAATTCTCTGAATCTATGTATACCTTTCTCCTTAATGCTATTAGAACTTGGTTATACTACTTCTACCTACCTTGTACCTTCCAGCAATGTGTTTGAGCTGCTGAAGACTGTAGTACTGACTATACTATTTATGTACTACCTTAGGTACTAAAAAAAGCAAAAGGCAAAGCTGTCTCAACAACTTGAGTTATCTCTTCCATTAGAAGTATCATTAGTCAACTGTGTACTCCTAAGTCCTATCTCCTCTTTAGAAATTCGAATATGTGTGTAAGGATATTGTAACAAACTTGACTGGTCATTCAGATTTGTGTTGTAAAGTATTCTCTAGTTTAGATGACAATAGTATCCAAGGTGATCCGAAATCAATAGGATCATAGGTTATGCTCAGAGGGAATCACACAGTATAGGGGTTCAGTGGACTCTGCTCTCATTCGTTGTAGGTGTCATCCGTCTGTGAGTGTCATTGTCTGTTGATTGAGTAGGTATATATAATATGTAGCTATGTCTCAGGTACGTCTGTTGCTTATAAGCGTCATTCCATATATATGCTATTTCCATATATGTTAACACTCCCCTTCAAACATTTATTAGTTTAATAATATGTTTGTTTTGCAATTATTTGATTATTTGATTTGTAGTTATTTTATTTTTATTTTTAGGGGTAGTTATAGTACTGCTACCACTCCCCTTCAAACATTTATAAGTTGGCCAGACCTATAAGATGTTTGATTTGCAGATTGTTCCAACATTTTTATTAATATAATATCTGCAACATACATCTGTGTGTCTGTATTATATTTGCTTGTGTATCTCATTTATTAATATCATTTATATAATGTAAATGTGTTGCTTGTATCATATATTTAAGTCCACTGTGTGTTAACTTTGTGTGTTGTTAGATATTTATTAAGTTTTTGTTTGTTGTTGTGTCATTAGTTCTGTACTTTGTTCATCATTATATTATTAAGTCATTGTTTGTTGTCATGTAGACTGTTTGATGTGATTGAAATTGTTTGGAGTTAATCTGAAGTTTGTGCATAGTTTACTGTTCAACAACAGTATTGTTTTCACAATAAATCACTCAAAATCATTATTACTTAAAGGAACGTCCAATGCCTGTATATATGGTACAACAAAGACTTTTTGTACCCACCTGTACAATAAATCAGTAAAATTTGATTATAGCAAAGCTTCTTATTAACACGTAAGTATCGAGTAACTGTTGTACGCCACATCAAGAATCAAGATAAGCCTTGCACGTTGCTCGGACACGTTTCTATATGTGGCTGAATTGCATGTTTCATGTATCCATACCCGAAGCAAGCCTTCTAGCTTTGCTGACCAGGAAGAGGGTGGATGCCTAGTACTACCATGCTCCCAGTCACAACCAGATAATGTCTAACCTGTCTAGCCCATAGGGTAAAATGCCCCAAAGTTTGGCTTTTGCTTTGTTCATAGACTTCATCCATGATCGAGTTCTGTCAAACTCCAGAAGTACTTTATCTCTTAGTGCTATAGATTGGACTCGTAGGGCTTGACTGACAACAAATTTGTTTGAATTTTTGATATAGCTTCATATCAGCCATGTATCACTAGTGATGTCCACGGCTTGTGTGAATCTCACGAAGAATAAAATGCATTCTTCATTCAAAATTGTACAGCGAGGAACAAGCTACATAGTATACCCTTATACAACGTTACGTTCACCCAGTTGCATTGCACGGTCCTGCCCACGTTATCATGTAAAAAAACGCAAAGCAAAGCAGGTTCGATCGGTCCACGTCATCTTCGTCAGAACTTTGATCATACTAAAGAAACTAAATGTATGCACCTGGAAGCCCAGATATACTCTCCACATTATCACAAATGAACTGCGGAGACTGGTCGTTCGGCGTAGAGATGGAGAAGTCTTGGAACGTGATGTCCGGACAAGGTGCGTTTGCGCTGCACTCTATGTCGACCACTACAGTAATAAATTTAGCGGGTGAGGTATTAGAAGGGTAAATAAGAACCAGCAAAGGAAAAAGAGAAAGCTTACGTCTATTTGACGTTGACGTCCCTGCCCAGTCTGCATAGTGCAGGTCGCCGAATTGGAGGAACGAGGGTGTATCGCCCCTGCCAGCGGACCCGCAGAATCGTCAGCTTCTTTATACATACTATCGAAGCGAGATACTGACGAATGCCCTCCATTAGTCTGATACAAGTGCGTTGGCAAGTCTACTTGGTCCAATGAAAAGTTCTTCATCGTTACATTGCTTACATGGCCTATCGCAGAAGATAGCATCACAAATTCTCGAAAAGGGATAATGACTTGGACGTACCGCCCCCGCCACCTCCACCACTCGGAGGTTCTCCGTTCACGGTTCCTGTCCACGACTTGAAATACACCTGACAAACAACCGCTGGGCGAATAATTTATCACGAAAGGATTTACGACTTACCCCGTTGTTCATGTTTGGTTGGATACTCGAGTTAATCCTCATCAGCTATATATTACAAAGCTGAAGTAAATAATGCAAAAAAGAGGGGGTGGGATGGACACATTTATGTGAACGTACCGTGAAATCCTCAAGCATGACGTTTTCCACGATATCATTCTATAATCCAGATGTTGACTCATAAGCTGCAGATCCTCTTAAAAATCATACATGAGAAGCTGAGTGCTTACCATACCAACGTATTGTCCCAACGACCCAAATGCAACACCGTTACCGCCACGACACGTATAGTTCTTCACATGGAGGTCAGTCGTATTCTACATACAAAAACGTCAACATCAAGTCGATCTAGAAACCTTCGGATTTCGATATGGACAGGACAGGTACATACACCTTTTACTGCGAGACAATCGTCTCCACATGTCACCTATCAAGTTTAACTTGAGTTCCAACGTACAGGTTGATCGGAGGGAATAATTGGGATGAGAAAGGATGAGAAAAGAGGAAAGACATACGTCCCAGTTGAAGAGCTTGATGTTATCTGATCTGTACGTGTTGATTCCTGGTAATGTGTCCGGTTAGACTCGACTTTCAGAATGAATAACAAAAACCAAACACACCATCCGTATTCGGCACAATACTACCCAACCAACCAATCCATCACAGTCAACATTCACACAACAAACTGGTAAACAACCAAAGTAAAGCAAAAGAAAAACACACACACTTCTGACCCAAAAACTCCGGATTCCCATTCGTAGCATTACACACCATCCCATCATACACCACATCCTTCGACATCGCCACGGTATTACACCAAAAGGGTGGAGAATGAATATGGAAGTTGCGGATTTGTGCGTGGGTGGATTGGAAGAGGGTGAGGGAGAGTGGACGGCCGTCGCCGTCTTGACGGGTGTGGGAGGTGAAGTAGTCCCACCATGGCTTTTAGGAAAACGGGAGGACGAATGTAGTTTTAGTTTAAGGAGAAGAGCGTGGATGGATGACGAACCTGCCCGTTCCCGTTTATCCCACCTATACCGTATGCGTCGATGACGAAGTTGTTCCCCGAGACAACGAACCAGGATGCTTGGCTCTGTATATACTCTTCTTCAGTTGCTGCTGCATAAATATTAACCGAGAATGAGCGAACCTGGATGAAAACAACGCGATATGTGTTGTTGGGGTTAAGCCAATATTCGACGTCGGGGACGAACTATCGTGAAATGCGTTCATTTATTAGATTCCAGGTTAGAAAGAACCTCGACGCACACTTAGCACTCCGAATAGATCCACTTGTGAGTTTGTCAAATTCCATGTCATCTTCCTGCACAATGCATTAGCAAGACTTGCTAGCAAAGTATATGACTATCACGAGTACTTAGTGATATTGAATTCCCCATGTTGCAGTACAACATGACCATTCGTGCCACATTTCTCAATTGCATTAAGCACCTTCCAATACCGTGTCAGTCATTGTATATACTGTCAAAGCTAACAATTCTTACCTGGTCCGTATCATCCTGTCCACCTCCAAGAGGCGATATCACACACGTCTGGCCACCAACTCCACGAGGCGACAAAATCTGCGTCGTAGCAAAGTTGACAAGACCTAGCAAAGTAAACAAAGGCAACAAAAAGATATTCGTAAAGGACGCCATCGTCGTGTCAGCCCGCAGGACATTACGAGATCATCAACTTCAAGTTATTATATAGTGAAGTCATGCCGACTTTGAGGAGTAATTCACGATCACAAGATACTCGGAGAAATTCACAACAGAAGAATTCAGAAGAATTGACGTGTGGAGGCGGGCCGTTCTGAGGGGTCAGATGTCCTAGAGTCGTCCTTGAGCCGGTAATCAATCTAGTTGTTGATGCTGGAAAGCAGTGGCAGTCCAGGAGAATAGCAAGAAAGCCACATGGAAGCATATATGATAGACTATATTATTTGCAAGCAAGGTATCAATTGAGGTAGGAAGAAATGAAAATGAAAATGAAAGAGACGCGCCATTCGACGCGCCGTCGTCTTTACACGACCTTTGTCTTCATCTTTCGTCCTCGTCCTCATCCTCAACACCGCTCAAAATGTCCAACCTGCGTTCAGGTCCAACAAACTCCTTCAGACCAACGCGTACGACACGTTCTACCGCAGCAGCATCAGGTGCAGGCACATCAGCAGCTGCGACAACCAGCTCGACGCGTCCCACTGCAGCCTCAAGACCTCTCTCAGCGGCGGCTAGCAGTCGTCCAGGCTCTTCAGCTGGTGTCAAGCCACCTTCGAGACCAGGTTCCGTTGCTGGTTTCTCCTTTGGCGCTACGCGCGGTGCTGCTACGTTAGGTGCTGGGCCTAGTAGAGCAAGTGCTCCGCCTGCGTCTGGCGGTGTTGCTGCAGGTGTGAAACGAAAGACGCGTGCTGGTAGCTCGAGTGTTGAACAAGGTAAGTCCTCTCACAAAATCAAAAAGAAATCCCATCGCTGAGTTTGATTGTTCGTAGAATCGTCCGCAGCAAAACGTCCCGCGCTGACCAGTGCCTTCTCCGCTCATGTCACACAAACATCTCTCAACCGCCAACTCTTAGCTGCACAGGCTCAAGTCACAGAGCTACAAAATAAACTACTCAACAAGGATCGCGAGATTGACAGGTTAGAAGCGGATCTCCGTCTAGTCGCAACGCGGGAAGAAGAAGAGAAGGAGGCTCGACAACGCGCTGAAGAGGAGTTCACTCTAAAGACGGTACGTCGTCTCTTTATTTTTCAGTTCAAGCATCAAGTCTAACGACGTGTTAAGAGCGCACTCGAATACGAGCTCTCCTCGCTAAAACGAAAGTTCGCAGAACTCGAATCACATCACGAAGATCTCGACGACGCCTACTCAACTCTCCTACACACCTCCCAATCCAAAACCGCCGCTCTCAATGTCGAGATCACCACTCGTGACGAACAGATCGAGCTTTTGCAATCTCAGTTGCAGGACGCTCAGGCACGAGCACGTGAAGAAGAGATTAGGGCGAAAGCTCTGGAAGAGTTACTTGAGCAAATGACGGAAGAGGAGCCTGGAGGTGAGGATGATGAAGTAGAGGAGCACGAGAAGGAGGTAATAGGTGGGGATGATGGAGTTTCGAATACCAACGCAGGCATGCGAGTCGAGATTGAAGAACCAGCGACCAGCGTAGACGACGACGGTTCTTCGAAGGCAGAGAAGGAAGACGAACGAGACGAGCTCGACGCAGATGGCGAAGCCGACCCCGAGGAAGACCCATCAATGGCAGTCGATACTATTACTGAGGGAGACGTCACACAAACCGGTGAAATCGAAATATCAAGCATCCGTTCCCGCTCAGTAGCAGCAGTCGAACCAAACGTTTCACTTCACTCAGGCGACCAAAACCAACCAGAAATCGAAGCTTACCCCGACCCAGGTGCACCACCGCCCTACACCGTCTCCTCGCCCATCTCCGCCTCCGCGTCGATTGCGTCACGTTCTCGTTCTGCGTCCATAGCTTCTTCGCAGAACGTTTCCATCGCTTCTTCTCGTGCGATGAGTCTTACACTCGATCGGCCACTACAACAGCAACAGCAGCAGCAACCAACACACGGAACTCCACTCTCCATCTCATCCAACTCCCGCCTCGACCCCCTCTCCCACATCCGTCATCGACTCAGCCTCGGCACACCCAATAGACGTCGACGTCATTCCTCCACAGTCTCTTCACATTCCCAACAAGAACGAGAACGAATCAGTAATATCAGTAAAGACAACGAAATAATCCGCACCGAACTCTCCCGCCTCACATCCCACCTCACCTCCCTCGAAGCCTCCAACACCCGCCTCACATCCGAACTCTCCCGTCTCCGCTCCAGAGCCCAAAACTCAGAAATCCTACGCGAGGAGAAACGGGAGCTTGAGAGGCGGTTGTTGAGTATGGAGGGGCTGAGGACGAGGGTCGCCAAGCTTGAAACGAATGCTTTGGCATTCGCTAAGCGGGAGAAGGAATGGGAACTTAAGTTGCGAAATCAATCCGAGAGTGGTGGTGGAGATGATGAGAATAACGAGAATTGTACGCCGGGGAAGACGCCTGTAGGTGTCACACAACAACTTACGACGCTCCGCAAACAACACGCGACACTCTTAGACGAACACGGACAACTAAAAGCTACTCTCCGAGCATACGAAGTCGAACTCACCAACACACGCTCAGAATTAGAATCCACTTCTTCCAACGCAAGCCGTTTGCAAAAAGAAATCGAACACCTCCAAGACACCTTAACTCGAAAAGAAAAAGAATGCGTTTTATTGGAACGAGACGCGATGTTTTTGCGATCCCTCGTTTCGAGTTATCAAAATGAGGAAGCGGCGAATATCACTGTGTCAGATGATGGTGAAGTCGTCGCTGCTGCTGTTACGGAGAAACTCGAACAGCGAATCGCGCAATTGGAATCCCTTCTTGAGGAGTACAAGTCTACGATTGAGGGACTTGAAGGGGAGGTTGAGAGGTTAAGACGGTCCGGCGGTGGAGTTGCGAGTAAGTCGAAGGAAGAGTGGGATTTGCTTGTGAGGAAGGCTGCTACTTTGGAGGAAGGTGAGCATCCACACATCCTTTCTTTCCTTTTGCTGAAAAATATGACTGACAAACCAACTTTAATTGTAGCTTTCAAAAACGCACAATCCTCAGCAGCCCAAAGCACAGACCGTATCGACCAGCTCGAACAACGTCTCTTCGAACTCGGCGGAGAGATCGGTGCAGGTCGACACATTCCACCTAACACACGCGTTCTCACTCTTCAACAGAACCCAGCGCAGGAATGGGCTGATACGAGACAGGAAGTGCTTGATAAGCTTAAGGCGGAGAATGAAGCTTTGCTTGAGCGACTTAAGGAACTCGAATCCCGACTTTCTCAATCCGGCGGTCCTCCCACTTCCACCTCCACAACCTCCAATTCCGATCCCACAGACCCTGGCAGCAACACACAATTCGTCCCCCGCGCATCCTACGACTCCCTCAAACACGAAACCTCCTCCCTCTCCTCTCTCCTCGCCCAAAAAGAAAAACGTCTCCTCCGCTTACAACAAGTCTACTCTTCCAAATCTATCGAGTTCCGTGAAGCCATTGAGAGTATTATGGGTGTAAAATTGGCGTTTTACCCGAATGGACAGGTGAGAGTGACGAGTGTGTATGATTTGAGTGCGGCTTTTGTTTTCTCGCCTGCCAAGCCTGACTCAACCACAAATAACGAGAAGGAGGACGGGAAAGACAAGGATGGGAAAGACAAGGGTAAGAGGGAAGGAGATGAGAAAACCAAACTTGGAGCACGAATGCAACTAATCGCTCTCGGCGACCACGTACCCGAAGAACTGGAAGGGTTGATGAACATGTGGATAAGAGACGAGATGTGTATACCGTGTTTTATGTCGAGCGTTACGTTGGAGTGTTATGATAAGTGGAAACGCGAGCAGGCGGAGGCTTCCGCCGCCTCTGGGATGAGCTAGAGAATCTAGAGAGGAATAGCGTAGAGGTGTAGAGGTGTAGAGGTGTAGGCGGTAGATAGAGAAAATGTTATTGTATTATATTATTATAGTGCAGAAGATGCCGACTGTATTTATTTATGATGTATTATTCTGTTATTCTGTCCGGTAATGCGAAAACCGACGCCACGACCGACTCGGAGTGGCACAAATCAGGCTGTGAACAGGCCCTTTGCTCCTTCTGATCCGCTACTCCACCGTGGGTCCAAAAATAAAAATGATTCCGGATCCGCCATCACTTCAAGGTCACGTTGTATAGTCAGTAAGAGCAGCACTTGTATCAGCTATTAAAAGTCATGTCTCTTTACTAAGTAAGCAAAACAACAAGAACAAAGGAAATGTGTAAATGTGATTATAGATGAGGTAGCTATCTGTTGTTTCATAATAAATGGCATGTTTTAATAACCGCATTGAGAATCATTGTAGCTGCATTCTTCACTAATGGAGAGAAGAAACATGCACTAGGACTGACAATACAATGAAACAAAAGAAATATCTGCAAATTTGACTATAGGTGAGATAACCCTATGTAATGCCTCAAGTTTCTGATGTAGATATTACATACTTGAAACCAGTCATACTTTATACAGAGCATGCCGGAATCAAATTTATCGGATGCAAACTAGAAAGAACTACGTCATTCCTTAAGTAATTTGGGTAAGTCAATTATGTCTGCCAAAAGTATAAAAGGGTGGTGGGTAAAGACTCGTTGAGAATATTGACTGGTTAACAGCCCAACATATCTGCAAGATGTTCAAGATACCGGTACAGGAAGGCTTCAAACGTCAGTCCTCTACTACTGCCAGTCGCTCTAGTACTACCAGGAGCAATAGACACGAAAGAACGTCAAGAAGCGACTCACATAAAGAGAGACGTGACTCTGGCAGAGCAAAGGGCAATGAGGAGCAGCGTGAACGCAGACGAGACAGCAAGCATCATACAAAAGCAGAGGACCACGACCGTGCTGAGGATACAGGTGATAGAGACAAGCACAAACATCGTAAACGTCGCATACCAAAGCAAAGGGAAAACACAGCTGGCAGCAACACAGACCGTGGAGGAAAGAATACAAGTTCTTCTAAACTGGCAAAACAAGATCATGGTAAAGACAAGCTTAAAGAGAGAGTGTTAAGACGAGACTACACGAGAGCATGTCTCAGATGATATAAACTACATTACAAGCAATGACGAACGATGATGGAATACCTTCCATCATACATTCTACATCTGAGACATACTTACATAGTATATATAGACTAACTAATCAACGGACGATGAAGCAAGCTGCGAGAGAGCGAGCCGAGTCCACTATCCCCCCTCTTTGTGTGATCTCTCTAAGCCTCTCACATAACCTCTTTCCCCTTTCTTAACAGGTTATGAGCCTTGAGCTCCCTGCCTACGCTTTATCTACACTCTACTACGTCTATGCTCTATACAGTTCTATGCATCACATGCACACACGCAGCATACTATGATGCAGAACTCGACTCACCTGTCTGAGTATCCCAAACGCAAATCAATACGCTGCAAACGCACAATCTACTGTACTACATACGACCCAGACATTATATGATTGTCATCTTAGTGATTATGATCATTGGCCCAGTAATAACATAATCTATGCAGGCAATGTTGAAACTATGATGAGTATCACTTACTGCAATTATTAAATGCTAAAATATCCTATAATATCACAGAGATCATATTATAATAAATTAACTGATCATACTACAGACGAACGTTAAAAAGATTAATAAAGCAAACACTACTCTTCTGCTATTAACATTACAATAGTACAAATGATTGACACTGTCAACAAGCACACATATGTTATAGCATAAATCAAATAATAACACATATAGTAATATCACAGCCAAACAATTAATGCTCAAAAACGAGTGCATATATGCTAAACAGCATATTAAATCAAATAAATAAAACATTTAACATGTATTATAAACAATAATACAATTGCAGACACTATAATAACAATAATAATAACAATAATAATAATAATAATAATACGGATAGAACTAATGGAACGAATACAGAACAATATAATAACTAATGCATATTATTGTTGAGCAATTATATGTAACATATTGGATTCAGTGGTTACATGTTGGATATTGTGATTACTTATTGGATACTGAATATAATATGCATATCTAAGATATACAGACGAGTACAGATATACAAAAGTATAATGAATAACTACAAACCAAAAAAACAATGCTACAGAGTGTATAAACTAACTATGCACGAAAGAAATAATGTTATAATGTATAAATACTGATTATGGCACAAGACAAGTGTAAAAATTATAATTATTAAACAAATAATACTACTTTACACATTAATACAATTGTGTAAATGCATACTAACAATGAACGAAAGAATCATATCTCTAATATACTTGAAACGATGCATCAATACAACTTAATTACACAGAACGTGTTATCATAGCAGCTGATTATATAATAAATTTCAAAGTTGTAACAGTAACATCAACTGTACAGTGTATATACCTTAACAAACAATTATTAAATTTACATTGTGACAATGTAGCTTGTAGGAGCAAAGTATTAAGCTGATAAAGTTATTACAACAAATAATACAAATATAATTATTACAAACGTATTATTATAATAATTACAATCAAAAACAATCATAATATAATATGATTAAATAAATTAATAAAATGTTTAAGCCATTATCTCAGACAGTATAATATAAAATAGGTAATAATGGATGTGAGTGTACTTAATAGAACTCAGTACATTTACTAAAAGCACTACATAAATAATAATTATAATGTTATTAAACGAATATTATATGGAAACAAACAAATTACCATATGTTTTCAACACAAAAACAAAATATTCATTTATAGTTACAAACAATAATTAATAAAAGATAATGAGTGTAAAAAAAAACTTGTATATTATACATAATGTGTACTTATCTACTATAACAAACAAAATACACATTATATAAGTTGACGAATGTTAACAGTAACAAAAATATAATAGTAATAACATTTAAATTACTCATTATAGAACATAACAAACGTTATGCACAGCTTTAAAATACTAATAATTAGAAATCGAACCATGAAAGCAATTACAATTATTATATATAAATATTATATTATAACAACAATTAATAAATGTTAAAGAAATATCCAATTCTTTGAAGAAATACCTTCTTAAATTGAAGGGGAGAAAATGGATAATATGTACAAACAATTAATAACTAAATATAAACAATGGAACAGAAAGTATAATGCTATGGACACTATGAAAAATAGAATAACAAAATTCACAGACTAAGCACTGACTAAGTGATAGAAGTTACAGACAGACATAATGGATCATAAAGGTAAATCATTCAGTATGAAGCAAAATTACGTTAATCAGAACTAAATAACAGAAGTCAATACAATGTGTGATTGAACTTCAACATTAAATAAATAATGATTCTACTATGAAACAAATGCTCATACTTGGCAAATAATATTAATATGATAATATAATTAACTTAATGGCGTTTAATACAAAAATAAATAATATACAGACAATTATCACATCATATAACAAAATAATTTATCAATTCAGACTATAGTTCATGGATAAAAGTGATGAATAACAAAAATAATACTTTGAAACATACATAAAACAATAAATAATATATCTATATGATAATACAGATATAATTGCAATATAATTCGCAACTACAATGAACAATATGCAGATAATAACTATATAAACAAGTATGGAGCACATACATATAATTAAATAAAACTATTAAATTGATTCTTGTACAAACAATTAATTTGCCCTCACTGTACAATTAATACAAGTGTGAACAGCATTATAATACTATGAAATACATTGGATAGATACTAATAGGTATATCTATACAATGATTCAAATAAAATAAATAAAACCAATATATAAAACGTTTTACCTAGCAAACCAATTAACAAATAAAACGTCAAACAAATACTACAATTGTGCAAAGCACTAGATTAACTAAAGAACACTAGGAGACAATTATAGTAAACATAATCTGATATATCACTTATATACAGATTGTGTTACAATACATTATTCTTTGCAAAAGAAAAAGCAAAGAACAATAGCTATAACATACACATATATATACACAATACTATGATTGCAACAATTCATAATAACATTGTTAATGAT